AAAGGGAATCTATCACTACTGGATTTTTCCCCAACAGCTGAAAGCTTTGGGGTCTCAGCCCAGATAGGGTCCGGGGTGGCGCGGGGCGGCCCTGAGGTAAGGTTCCACGAGGGTTCCACCAGAGTTCCACCAGGTTCTGCAAGGGCTGCGGGGTGGTCCGGGGTGGTTTGAGGTAAGGTTTCACGAGGGTTCCACCAGGGTTCCACCAGGTTCTACGAGGGCAGCAGGGTGGTCCGGGGTGGTTTGAGGTAAAGTTCCACGAAGGTTCCACCAGGGTTCCACCGGGTTCTGCAAGGGCTGCCGGGTGGTCCGGGGTGGTTTGAGGCAAGGTTCCACGAGATGAGGGTTCCACGACGGTTCCACCAGGTTCTGCAAGTGCTGCGGGATGGTCTGGGGTGGTTTGAGGTGAGGTTCCAAGAGGGTTCCACCAGCGTTCCACCAGGTTCTGCAAGGGCTGCAGGGTGGTCCGGGGTGGTTTGAGGTAAAGTTCCACGAAGGTTCCACCAGGGTTCCACCGGGTTCGTGGTCCGGGGTGGTTTGAGGCAAGGTTCCACGAGATGAGGGTTCCACGACGGTTCCACCAGGTTCTGCAAGTGCTGCGGGATGGTCTGGGGTGGTTTGAGGTGAGGTTCCAAGAGGGTTCCACCAGCGTTCCACCAGGTTCTGCAAGGGCTGCAGGGTGGTCCGGGGTGGTTTGAGGTAAAGTTCCACGAAGGTTCCACCAGGGTTCCACCGGGTTCTGCAAGGGCTGCCGGGTGGTCTGGGGTGGTTTGAGGTAAGGTTCCACCAGGCTTTTACCAGGTTCTGCGAGGGCTACGGGATGGTCCGGGGTGGTTTGGGGTAATGTTCCATGAGGGTTCCACCAGGGTTCCACCAGGTTCTGCGAGGGCTGCGGGGTGGTCTGGGGTGGTTTGAGGCAAGGTTCCACGAGGGTTACCAGGGTTCCACCAGGTTCTGCGAGGGCTGCGGGGTTGGTCTGGGGTGGTTTGAGGTAAGGTTCCACGACAGTTCCACCAGGGTTCCACCAGGTTCTGCCAGGGTCCGGGGTGGTTTGAGGTCAGGTTCCACCAGGTTCAACGTAAGGTTACACGACACAAAAGCGCCGCCAAAGTTCGACCAGGGTTCCACCATTGTTGATTCTGCAAGGGCTGCGGGGTGGTCGAGGTTCTGCGAGGGGTGTGGGATGGTCCGGGGCGAGGTAAGGTTTCAAAGGGTTCCACAGAGTTCCGCGAGGATTCCACAAGGGTTCCACAAGGCTCCAAAAGGTTCCACAAAGGTTCCGCAAGGTTCCATGGTTTCCCCTAAAGAAAAACAATGTGTCGCCCGCCGTTTGCTCAGATCGCCTTGCTCATGGCCGGAACACTAAGCAAAACCAAAGTTCATGGTTCTCAGCACACTTTCAATGTTTTGTGACTTGCTCACTTCTTCAGGCAATGCGGCCCGAAATGTTGGCTTTGTTGCACATGAAATCATGTTGCTGCGGGACTCTCACTGTGCAGCAGAGTAAATGCTTGGCATTACTGAGTATTACTTGGTTCCAAAAACGCTCCACGAGGATTCCACCAGGTTCTGCAAAAGCTATGGGGCAGCCCTGAGGAAAGTTCCAACAAAGTTTCACGCTGAGTTCCACGAGGGTTCAACGAGGACGGTTTGCGAGGTTCACCGGGCACAGGTCGGGCGATGCGCCGTCGGGGCCCGATTGCACCGTCGGGGCCCGATCGGGCCCGATTGCGCCGTCGGGCCCCGATCGGGGCCGGACTCAGTCGGGCCGCGTCAACTGTACCAAGCTGGCATGGCCTAGTTTTGCTGGATACAAAAAACCGGCGTTGAGCTATAATATGTGGCTGGGGTTGGTGGGAGCCCGCTTGCACCACGGGACCATCGGGCCCCTGGCCGGGGCTCGGGCCCCGATTGCACCGTCGGGCCCCGATTGCGCCGTCGGGCCCCGATCGGGCCCGGACTGCGCCGTCGGGCCCCGATCAGGGCGCGATTGCGCTGTCACTCTTAGCTTTGCTTTACAACGTTACAACGCGGCATCCTCAGCAAAACCGGTCGCGGAGCGTTCCGCGAGGATTCTGGGAGGGTGTGGTGCTGTTGGGGATATCGCCTGAGCTTACTGTTTTATTTTTCCAGGGGTTTTAACCAAATGGAAGTAGGTTTCCCTGTTGAAATCAACCACCAAAAACGGGTGCCAGTTTTTCTCCCGATGGTTACTTGGCGGGGCTGCCACTCGCCATGCGCTAAGGCAGGCCACCAGGGGCCAGGAGAATGCCTCGCCGTTCGTCATCGCCGAGTCTTGGACTGGGCCCTTATCATGGTTGTTGTTGGGAAACATTTACATTTTTGCTTATTGTGGTTTCGTGGTTGAAATCCAACCACTTAGCTGCTAAAAAGCTGAATTGGTTGCTCCCCTTCCAACGTCAACCAAGTTATGGACAAAACCTACGCCACCAGCTGGGATGGATGGCAGAGGTTGGCAGTAGACCCTTGAAGAATTGCCCGGGTATTTGGAGCAGGTGGCGCCTTCATCAAACATTCCCGTGTGGTAGCCAGCTCAGCCCTGCACAGACATCAAAGTCTTCTTCTAAATCAACCAACCGACTTTATGAGCCAAGCAGAACTTAGGCAAGCACCACGCTGGATGCCCTGATTGCAACAAACAGAAACAAATACACCTTCTGATTTACCGTAGTTTACTAAGGTTTTGCGGTTAACTGCGGTTGGTCTACTTGCAACTCAGGTGTTCAAAGCCGACCTTTTGACCTTTTGGTTTTCCTTTTTTGGCTTCCCCATTTTTAAAAATCCCAAAAAGTAATCACCTGTTATTCCCAGGTCCGAACTGGGCAAGTGAGGCAATTGTGTGTGCAGGTGTCACTTTCAGAGACCATGGCCACGTGATCCAAATCTTGGCCCTGAGCAGAAGCTGCGAAACGTCCATTTCCGGCGTGAACCAGGGATTGGTGCTGACTGGCTAAAGAGGGGAATTCTTGACTGCTATTGAACATTTTTTTTTGTTGAAATAAAGGTGTTTTCCACTAAACCCCCGAAAAGTTAAACTTTTTGCAGGGGGGTTAACAGCCATTAACAGCAACCAAGGATTGAGCTATGCCTTGGTTCGGACCATTCTCATGGCCGGTCTTTGGTGTGACCGGAAACAAATGAATGTTCCATGAACCCCACAGGAGGCGTGGAACCTTTCGCCCGAGCCTCAAGAGTTGGGCTTCCGGTTCAATCCCGAATCCTTTGCCAGCGGTTCTTTAGACCTCGTCTGCCCGGCATGTGGCGCTCATCAAACTTCTCTGAAGATTTTCCGGACAAGGCATCCCCCAACAAAAAAATCAGGGCACTCGCCAGGCGAAAAGTTCTCCCCATCTGAACAAGTCATTCCTTGGGGTCAAACATTGGACGCTCGCTTTTCCGGGGGGGGGGGGGCGTCCGAGCCAATTCCCTTTTTTGGGAACCTCCAAACCTGGCGAACGTTTCAACGGAAGCCACCAGTTAAAAGGGCAGCTTTTGAAGCGGAAATCTGTGTGGCGGTTTGGTCACGGATCTTTGGACTTGAGAACTTTTTGGTTGAAACTTTGTGGTTTTGCAACGTTTTGGGGCCCCACAGAAAGTGAACAGCCTTTTGCGGGGGAGGTCCTTGCAGCAAGCTCAGGACATGGCTGCGTCTCGCAGAGACCCTAGCTGGTCCGATGACGGGCGTTTGGTGGGCGCCCGAAGCCCCCTGCAACTTGGTCGCAGCATTGGAACATGAAGCGACTCTTTGGGCAGCCTCAGCCTTTGTCAACATGTGCCGGGACTGCTGATTGATGTTTCTATTTTCGGAAGTTAGTAGGGAATCATTGTTGCCATATACTCCCAAATAAGGGAGTTGTAGCTAACATAATATGCCTTGGTCGGTGGGTCGATCGGTCGGTTGGTTGATCGGTTGATCGATCAGTCGCTCGGTTGCTTTGGCTGGACACAATCCCCTATGGGGTGAAGCGATCACACAATTCAACGTGGCTGAGGCTCGCCTGATTTCAAGCCGGTGATGTTTTGAAGATTCACCCAGACACTTGTGTTCAGCAGCGTTTATCTTGAGGCTGGTTGTTTGGTTGGTTGCTTGCTTGCTTGCTTGCTTGCTTGCTTGGCTTGCTTGCTCGCTCGCTTGGCTGGTTGGGCTGGTTGGGCTGGTTGGGCTGGTTGGTTGGTTGGTTGGTTGGTTGGTTGGTTGGTTGGTTGGTTGGTTGGTTGGTTGGTTGGTTGGTTGGTTGGTTGGTTGGTTGGTTGGTTGCTTCCTTGCTTGGCTTGCTCGCTCGCTCGCTCGCTCGGTTGGTTGGTTGGTTGGTTGGTTGGTTGGTTGGTTGCACGATTTGGGGGGAATCCTTGCTTACATGAACTATAGAACTCCTACGTACGTATGATTAAAAGAAGGTTAACCGCAGTAAGCTCTGCAGGCAGACTGGCTCAGCCCATGCTGTTTTTGAGGTTCGCGAGTTGCAGTTCATTGCGGTGACTTGGAACCATAGCTTCATACCAAAAGAGTGGGCCAATGCTCATAAGGCTATGACTTTTAATGGGGAACCGCCTCCCAAACGTTTGGCGGACATGGAACCCTTACCCAAATGATGTGCACCAAAGGGTCTCCAACTGAAATTTACACCCATATTGTTACCTATCCAGCGATTCCACGAAAATTCGGGGGGAAAAAAAAGCTTACCCATGAAGGCCGCTTACTTGGAGACTTCTCATATGGAATCCGTTCTGTGAATACAGACAACTTTCCCAGACAAGCGCCTTCGTTTGCCTTGCCTTGCGCTGACTTGCCAAGAGATGCCAACGAATTGAATCGTTCCACATCAATCCGCAAGATCCTTGGGCCAGTGGCGTCCTACGTAAATCGCTTGCATGCTGCCCCCATGTACCACGCGTTCTCCTCACTTCGGTTGGCAACCTACCTCCTGCGGCTTGAACTGGGGGCGATCTGGCGTATAGGCACCGTCGATTCCGAAGCCATGGCGCCACGGTTGTAAGTTCCTTAGGTGGGTTATAGCCAGGATTACTTGCCGCTTAGCTGGGCTACTGCCAGTTTATCCAGAGACCGCACGTAGAATTTCAGCGTTCAGGGCTGGAAACCCTGTCATTTGCCACGGATTCTGGTTGGTTCGCATGCAAATGTTGGAGGCAACGCGTACGTACGGATCTTCATTTGCTCCTCCCTCGATTCCATGACCAAGGCACTACCTATTCGGCGAGCATCGGCCTTTGATCGGTGCCACCCTTAGATCCCACAGGTTCATAAGCATTGATTCTGGCGAGCTAAGGGTAAACATGAGCGAACATGAAGGTCCTTTACTAGGGGATCCAATTCTTGTTTCAGGTTTCGGAACGTTGCCGGAGGGTTGGCACATGTTAGCACCATTGCTTGTTCCGCCAGGTGGTTCAGCACGACACGAGTGGGCCAAGGATAGGAGCGAGTGAGTGTGGGGAGCTTGCTCGTTGTCTGAACACATTTAAACCACAGGGGTTGACTCGCCCAACGGTCTCGGTTTCGAGCACTCTCTTCCAAGCTGTCAGTTTTCATGGGGTCCAAATGTAGTTGAGCTTTAGACTTTCAAGGAACCTAGACTCTCCATGATCCTTAAACAATGGGGTCATGACCCCATCAATCGCTTCTTCCTAATTAAACCCCCCCCCCCCCCCCCTCGCCAAAAAAAACACAAAAAACTGGGGGGGGGGGGGGAGTTTTATTATTAGGTGTCGCCGGTTTGGGCCTAGACCCAGTTGATAGTTTGCTGTTCAGTATTGGACTTGCATTGGAAAGTGGATCTCCTTTGATTTGGAGCAACAACTTCTCAGATTGCAACGTTTAAGTAGGAACTTCGAAAGGGAGTGTCCCATGGTCAGCTTAAAACAAAAACAACTTTTGCTTGTGTTGGGTTGCTTGGAAAAACTGACCCTAATAATAGAACTTTCTTAAAGATGTGTTTTTTGGTTGGTTGCTATTTACTATTGGACTTGCATTGGAAAGTGGACTCCCTTTGACTTGGAGCAACAACATGCTCAGATTGCAACTTTTAAGTAATAACTTTGAAAGGGAGTGTCCCATGGTCTGTTTCATAAAACTAAGTGCTTGTTTCAGGTTGTTGGGCGAACACACCCTAATAATGAAACTTGGCAGATCCGAATAGTAATGTGTTTGGAGGAACCCTTTCATTTGAGGACTCCTGAAGGACCCATAATCAGGCTGTTCCTGGTTTGATAGAGCCCTAATTCCCCTAATGACAAAGCCTTGTCGCACAAGGCAACCCTTGGGTGTCAAAGAAAACGCGGAGCCTTCTTGTTTCAACACACTCTGGAGGGGGGAACCCTAATAAGCATATTTTGGGAGCTTGGTGGAAAGCATGTGTAGTCTCAGGAGTTTAGTATTGGTTTAGTATTGGCCAATCTAAATTGAGTATTGCCGATTTTTGTGCCGCGGCTCGGGGGAGTAGGTTGATTAATAGCAAGAAGGGATTTTTTTGGGTAATGACCCCATGTTTAAAGGGTCATGGAAACTCCAGGAAGATCGATTGACAGAGAATCAGCAAGTCCGGGTGTTTCTTGACCACTTTGGAGGTGAGCTGTGGACCGTCACCCTTTCTCCATAGCACCTATAGGGTGGCAGATCAGATTCCTTTAGGATCCTTTTGTCAGGTGGTCCAGACGAATCGCAAAGTGATGAGGAACCAAGATTCTATCTCGCTTGCTGCGCGAAAAAATTGTTCTTGCCACGTGTCTTAGCCGGCGGGTCGCCCTGTTTTGCAACCAGGCCGCCCCTCTGCCGGATGACAGCTCGAGCTCCTGCATATAGCGCGTAGCATCTGGCGACTTGACTTCGCGGCCAGTGTGACTGCGGAAACCAAAAGGCGAATCGCCAAGAGCAACACAGGAGAAGGGAACCAGCAAGGCCTAAGCAAGTGCAAGATGTCATCCAATGCTGCACACTGTTGTCACCCCCCTTCTTTGTGGCCGCCCCCCAGCGCGTGCGGAAGGCGACCAGTTCGTCAAGCTCATCTTCATCTCGCCCGGGCATTGCCGGTTGAGGAAAAGAAAACATCCCTAAACAAGCAACGATCGCCGCGAAGGCGAAATCATCGAGCCGAAGCGGATAATGAGTATTGCGGTGAAGCTGATTCTCAGGCCACCGTGGAAATCAAACATGAAAAAGACTGTACAAAGTGTCCGCAAAGCAATCGACACAGTTCACTTCATACTGGGTTGCGTCCCCAGCTAGCCAGACAGAGAGGTCCGGTTTTGCATGCGACCACAAGGAATCAAGATGTCGCAATTGACGGCATTTCATGAGAAAAGGAGTCCCCAATTGCTCCTGTGAAATACGCAAGTCGGGCCGGCAAAGGCGCAACTGAAATCATCTCAAGTCATCTTCCAAGACGAAAGACAATCACCAGATTCACAGACAAATGGTGCCTGGTTTGGCTACACGAACGTTCTAGGCGGCTGGATGTACCCTGGCAGCAGCAAGCGCGTACTGGGATTTTAAAACCAAGCTCATCAAAGGAAATAATGAGATCCGCCATGAGGTTCCACTGCACTGTGCAAATAAACAAGTACAGGGGCAAAAGCGATGTAAAATGTAAATGGCAAAATCATCAACGTCGGCCTCTCTGTTTCTTTTCATTCATCTGCAAAGTTCTCCATCTCTCAAAGCGCTGGAATGGACCTTCGTGGAGCTCTGGTTCACTCATAGTGACATGGCAAGTATGGTGTTCGACCAAGTGGACATGCCAATCACGCGGAAGTGTGAACTCCTTGCTGTCCAGCAACCGGGGAAAACGGATCCATTTTCTTCCGGAAAAGCACGATGGTTCAAAGTAACGGTAGCATCCCCTTGGATGGGCCAAGCCCATTTGGAATAATGCCCGACCCCCATTTGGAGAAGTATCTGACTGGTTCTACTGTTCCAGGGGTGGCCGTGTAAAGATCTAGGGGTTGATTCCTGCTCCATTCTTTTCAGCCATCGCTCTTTTCAAAAGCCAGATCCATTTCCCCACGTTTCTGCTGGTTTTCTAGAAAGATTCGGATCGGAAAGAATGGACATGGAAGTGCCCGGAAAGAGGGTCCAACTGTCCCCCCCGGAAAACGAGTCGTGAGCCTTGGGGAACTTGAGGCCGGGAGGAGTTCCTGTGCCGTGGGTACCCCGCCGAGCTGCCGTTGCGCTCCTCGGAGACAGAAAAAAGACGCGAGACGCGAGACGCGAGGCCCACTGGGGGCCGTTTTGTTTCTTCTGCCAACGAGGCTAACTCCACTGAACGGGGGGCTTAGAATGTGGGCTATGGGAGACCCAACAACTTACCAAGTCGAACATCTTTTCTTTTGTCTGTCTCCTTCAAAGTGTTTTCGTGTTTGTTTGTTTTTTTTCCCCCTGGAGGGGATCTTAACCGAAGCTTTAGGTTGCAATGTTGCAGATAATTTTGCGGATGTCACGTGAATGGCCAGCTTTTCTTGCATAAGGCTCACAGGATAAGGGCCAGAATCACAACATGCTTTTGGGTTGAAGGGAGCCTGGATAGATGAAACTGGCTGATCACCACGGGGGTCCCACTTAGGAGGGATTTCTTTGATTTTGGGGTGGGCGCACCCCACATCATTTTTCCGGGCAGACTCATCCGGGTGGACCGGTAGCTGCTTTTCAACCCACATGGGGGTGTCCCCTGCCTAACCCAAAGCGCCAGGGTTGTGGGATCGCTCGGGGTTTATCCAACCACTTCTGTGATTCGTTTGGGAATCTTCCCCTTACGAATGGGGGGTTAGTCTTTGGGAAGCCCTTTTTGTTGTTTCACAGAAGTGGTCATTTCCCACAGCTCTGCGCCACACTGTGGGCCAAGGCGGAATCTCTTCAGACCATCTTTTGGCCACATGCTGGGCAACGGCTTTAAACTTCTTCAGCCCGCTTCCCGCCTCGGGTATGAACCCAAATTGGGGCCCTGCGTTGGCGCCTAATTAAAGAAAACGAAAAGGCAAAAACCGACCACAAAAAGGAGGTGCAATTTGGAGAACCCCATTTGAAGGGCAGTGTTTGGTGGAAGGAGTGTCATTGCTATCGAATTCAGGTCGGCCAGTTGTTCAGTGGGTCCCACCCGCCCACCTTCCTCTTGTTGCTGTAACCAAGTTTCTGTTGGGCACTTTAGGGATCTAGCCCGTGCGCGAATGGGCAACTGGGAGCAAAGAATGTGATGAGCTGCAGGCGGACAGAAAGTAGCAAGCTCCGCAGTTGAGCGGGGCATGCCCTTTGTACTCAGCATTTCGCCCAATTCGGACACCTGGGAATTCGGTAAGTCTCCCTTGTTTTCAGTCTGGGAATTCGAATCAACCACGTTCTGGTGAGCTTGGGGCTGTTGAAACTGCCAAGTTTGGTTGGGCATGGCCGTCTTTTCCCCTGGGCTCTCATCATTTTACCACTGCCATCGACCTGTCCTCATCTTTGTTTTGAAGCATCATTGGCATGATGGGGCGTCACTTTGTTGGAATATCGAAAGGGAGAAAGAAAGAAAGAAGACAAGCCGATTGCATACGATTCAATAGCTACATGTATGAACCCCTTTTGAACCCCTGGTATGGCCCCTTTTGCGGCGCTCCTTAGCCACCCATTAAGAACCGTGGATAGTTTGAACCATGGTTTCAAAGTGGTGCGAAATAGATTTCGTCTTTAAATTCAATATTGCTGACTTTATGGTGCGCAGAATGAAGCCGTAGGTTTAGTCTTCTGGGATCCCTTCATTTCCTCAAAAAAGTGCTAATCAATGTATAATATATATATATATATATACAGCCCTTGAACAGAGAGATTGTTCTATGTATGTAGTATGTACATTTATATTCAGATTAACCAGAGGGGGCCAGATATTATACATATATATATATATATATAATTATATATATATATATATATGTGCATATGCATTATGTATGTGCATATGGGTGGCTCTCCTTTCTTGAGTTGGTACCCCTCTTTGGCGGTTTTGACCGGTTCCTCAGCGCTTGAGGTGGCCTGTCGGACCGGCAGATGAGGCAGCTGGCCGCCAAGAGCGCTCCGCTGCCGCTGCTGGGCGCAGCTTTGGCGGAGCCCAAGCTGCAACGGGGCGAAAAGAGGGGGGCATAGGTGTGCTTTTTGGTGGTTTTGGTCGAAAAATCGAGGGGTTTCGATTCCTAATTTTTACCTGGTGGTTTCATCATCTACCAGAGCCATCTATTTCCCCTAAAAGGACACCTATGGGCAGGCGTCCCTTGTAACATGGGGGTTCCGCAGTGTCCATGAGGGAAACTGAACTTGAGGGTCCTTGTCCTGCTTTAAAGGGGGGGGGCCATGGGGATTCCCTTTAGATGGCAACCAACAAGAAATGCCAGTCAGGGACTTGTCCGCCTTTAGGGAAGCTTGTCCTGTTCTAACGGGGGGGTTGCATGCGGATGTCCTTGTCCTGCTTTAAGGGGGGTGTACTTGTCCTGCTTTTAGGGGAGGGCCTTCATGGGGCGGGGGGTTGCCTTTGAACAGCAACCAACAAGAATGGCCGGTCAGGGAGTCAGTGAAGTGGTGGTAGCCTGCAATTAAACTCGCGACCAATGTAAGGGTTTAGGTTGCCCGGGACGAATGTCTACCCTCCTGTCCACTATCACAGAGGGTCCATTTCAAGGGAAGCTTGTTTGCCGGGACCCCTCAGTCAGGTTCCATGCTTGTGGGCAGGAGGAAGTCTTGTGCTGGGGGGGGGGTGTAAGATGGTTTCCTCTACCCCCAAATGCCTACAGGGGGTTAACGGGATGTCTATCCACTAATAATATAGCCAGTATCTAGGATATTATATACATTTCACAAAAAAAAGGAAAACAACAACACGGTTTCCCCATGTTCGAAGCTGTGGACGCCATCTTAGAATGACAGCATGCTTTAGCCGAATCACCTGGGGCAAGCAGGATCCAGTCACCAAGCCAATCAACAGCGCAACAAAAACATCATGATTCCTACTTGCAATACCTCCACAAGCACTGAAAGTCCCGGGGATGACTTGAATCTTCAGGCATGGAGTCATATTCGGGACCAGCAGGCAGTACATACACCAAATCCCGAGGCGTTGCTGTCAATGGCCGACTTCAGCCACAGTTCGCTGGCAAGCAGTGCCTCGGGTTTCCGCCAAAGAAGCGTGCAGTTGACCAGGAGAAACAATGTTCCTTGGATTTGCGCACCTTCGTACACACACACACATACACGCATACCCAAAGGGGGTTGACCACTTGTTTTTTGTTTGGTTGTTTTTGTTTTTTTTTTTTTTTTATCGGACTGGAACCGCTCTTGTGTGCTTGGCAAACGTGAAGCCTTTCTCAAAAAGTCACCCTGTTTCTGTTTGTCCTGCATGAACCACTCGTTTAGAGCAGTCTCCTTTCGTAGGTTGGCAGCGGGGTCATTGACGACTACGGTTATTGTTGTTTTCGTCGTGTGTGTGGGCCTGCAGCTGCATCATGGAAAGCAATGTGATTATCATAAGGGGTGCTACCAGCATGTCGCAAATAGTCAGCCTGCGAACCGTGGCAACTTTGATTCATTTTGGAATTGATGTGAAGGAGCCTACTTAAAAAAAATCGCCACTGAAATCATCAGTGAATGGGGAGGGCACATTTGCGACACTCAACCCGTGAGTGAGTGGCATCCTCATCCCCAAGAGGGCCAAGTAAAAAAAAGAAAAATGCAGTTCCCAGTCAACAGCACTTGGAGTTTATCATTTCGGGGGAAAAAACTGCAGGCCAAGTCGAGGGTCAAAAGGCACTTGGGGTCTCCTTACATCAAACATCACAAATCCTGCGATCGGGCTCCCAAGCATGTAAAACTGCAACCTTGCAAGAACTCCTGTACAAAACAAGACATATGCGAATCAAAAGGACCTTCATCTGGGGGTGAGCTCGTTTTACCCCCGAATCATCTTCGGTTGGCTTTTGATTTGCTGCTGCCCCAGGTTGCAAGTAGGAAGCATGCGGCCCCTGGCTTGTGCGGGTTTTGTTGGCGGTCAACTGGTTTTATGCGGACATCTCGCATTTGCTTTGCCACAAAGCTCAATGAGTCAACAAATGGGGCTTGTTTGCCGTCCGTATCGAGATCGAGGGTGTACTTTTTTGGGGGACTCTTGATGTCCAAAGGTAAGACAAGGGTTTACAGATGATTCCCTCCCATCATCACTGATTTGATCTAATACTATCCCACAAACAACGTTTCCATTTAACCCACTAAAAGTTAAACTTTTAGCAGGGGATCTGAGGACAGCCCAGGTTAGAGAGAGTAAAAATAATGAGAGTAAACCTGTTGTCCTTGCTGAAACTCGGCCGGCTGAGTCCCGGGCTACCAGCACCTGGCTGCCCAGATTGGGCACCTGCAGCTGCCGCAGGTGGACTCGGCGGGGTTCGCCCAGCGGGTGCGCAACGAATTCCGGCCGATCCAGTGATGTGGCCTCAACTTGCCTAGTCCTGGACTTTGTGCGCATGTTGTGGTCAAAAACTCGCGGAAAACCAAAGATGCTGGGCATCTAGGACAAGAAGAATCGGCAGAGATAGTTTGGATGTGTCGCTGCTGTTTGCTTATTGCATTGCTTATTGCATTGCTTATTGCATTGCTTATTGCATTGCTTACTGCATTGCTTATTGCTGCTGTTTGCTTATTGGGATAGTTTATATTCATTGCCCTTGGCCTCAGTCAAGCCAGTTGTTGACACGCGAGTTTGACAAGGTGGCGTTTCCATCCACGTTTTACAGCGGCACGCTTTCTTGCAAAGAATGTGCGCCCGTGTTCGCATTCAAGGTACCTTGGTTGTCTTCCATGCCCCCGCCGGGGGTGACTGGATGAGAGTCGATGAGAGTTCTTTGGATTGGCAAATCCCAGCGAGTCATCTTCCTGCCCTGCAAAGGCCTCAAAAGAGTGACAAACAAAAGGGGAGGGCGATGGTATTGGAGGGTCCTTGTGTTACTCCTCCCGGGGCCAACTTGCTGGGTTTTGGAGCAGGTTCGGTGAAGCCCCAAACATGCCTGCAGAACTCTCCAGCGTTTAATAAATTTGGGCATTGTTTTTTTTGGTCAGGGTGCCCAGACCCACCTTAAAGGCTCTCTTCCAAGAAACCTGGAAGTCAGAGGTGCTGTTTAGGTGAGTTGGGTTAGAAGCAGATGGCACTGGTTTAGACGGGTGTTATTCCTCTTGCCAGGGCCAGTTGTTTTTGCCAAAAGGCCACCTATGCTGGAAGTGCACAGGCCCCTTTTGGTCCCCACAGACCTGTTTTGGAAGAGACCCCTTTTGGAAGCGGATTGCAGCACCTTCCTTCTGACCAGCTTCTGTACTCTTCCATCTTTGTTGTTGGCGGGGCAATCCCCTACAGCACATGTCCACATCCATTGTGAGGCCCCGTTCTGATACATTTCCCGTGGCGTGCCATGGGAAAGCGGAATATGTGGGAATAAGCCGACCCTACAGTTGGGCGAGGGCAGATGGCAAAACCTTGTTCATGTCTGTAAGGGCAGAATAAAACCAAGATGAGCTGCACCGAGGAGAGAAATACACCTGGGTATCCCAACAGCTCCTACTGGAACCCTCCGGAACCGAATCTCCTGAACCCTTCCGAAAGCTGCCAGCCACCCCTTGTCGCCTATCTGGTCCAATCGACCCCAAACCTGAGCTCCTGGAATTTAACTTTCTGAAGACCGTTGTAGTGGTAAGACAAAAGCTTTCAGGTGCTCGGGGAAAAAGCAACCATCCCAGAGCCTATCCGGGCCTATCGACAACCAAGCCCTCACTACTTCCCTTTTGACCTTTGGTTTCCTTTTTTGGCAACCATTTCTAGTCATGGCCCCAAAAATGTCAACATAATTCCCTTTCGAAGGCAACTGAGCAAGGCCAACATTGGAGAGATGCATGACCGAAACAGACTGGTTGGGTTCAGGGACTTTTTGGAATAGACTGCCCTGGTACGTGGAATAAAACCCATCTAAAGCAGTACCATCTATTTCGAAACAAGTTAACCGCTCAAAAAGACGCCTAAAACTCACCGAGGAGAAAAATGCAAAACAAAACCAAGCCTTCACTTGCAAGGTTGAGCAGAGCCTCCCGCCCGTGGCACCTGAAGAGTCCGTGCGGAGCTCACGGACTGAGCGTTCGGTCAAATAAGCCACACCGAACGGGGGATGGAAGGGGAGCTTCGCTGTGAAGGTTGTAGGTTTTTTTGTTTGGTCTTTTTGGGTTTCGCTTGTGTGTTTCATTTGTTTATTTGTGTGCTTTGCTTATTTGTTTGGTTTGATCTTTCTCTCTTTCTTTACTTCTTTATTTGTTTCTTTCTTTATTGATTTTTATTTATTTCTTTCTTTTGTTTGTGTCGTTTACTTTTTGGTTTGCTGCTTTGTGTGTTGCTTTGCTTGTTTCGTTTATTTGCTGTTCGTTTGTCAGCTCGCTTTTGTGTTTCGTTTGTTTGTTTGTTTGTTTGTTTGCTTGTCTGTCCGTTTGCCTACGTGTTTGTTGTGTTTGTTTGTTTGCTCGTGTGTTTTTGCTCGTGCGTTTAATGTTCGGTCGGTGGGCCGGTCGGTCACTTGATTTTTTTGTTGTGTGTGTGTGTGTTGTGTTTTTGTGGTGTGCTTGTGTGGTTTTCAGTGTTTGTGTGTGTGTTTGTGTGTGTGTGTGTTTGTGTGTGTGTGTGTGTTTGTGTGCGTGTGTCTGTGTGTGTGTTCGTGCGTTCGTGCGTTCGTGCGTTCGTGCGTTCGTGCGTTCGTGCGTTCGTGCGTTCGTGCGTTCGTGCGTTCGTGCGTTCGTGCGTTCGTGCGTTCGTGCGTTCGTGCGTTCGTGCGTTCGTGCGTGTGCGTGTGTGTGTGTGTTTTGTGTGTTTTGTGTGTTTTGTGTGTTTTGTGTGTTTTGTGTGTTTTGTGTGTTTGTGTGTGTGTGTGTCTTTGCTTTGCATTGTTTTGTTTTGTGTTCTTGCTGGCTTGGCTTGGCTTGGCTTGGCTTGGCTTGGCTTGGCTTGGCTTGGCTTGGCTAGCTTGCATTACTGTGCTGTGCTTTGCTGTGCTTTGCTTTGCTTTGCTTTGCTTTGCTTTGCTTGCTTGATTGATTGCTTATTTGTGTTTGTTGCTTCTTAGTTTGTTTTTGTTCCCTTTGTTTATTTGTTTATTTTGTCCTTTATTTTGTTTTTGTCATTCTTGTTTGTTGTTCGTCCTTTGTTTGTTTGTCTGACTGGTCGTCGGTTTGTTTGCGTGCTTGTTTGTTTGTGTGTTTATGTGTGTGTGTTTGTTTGTCCGCTGGTTTGTGTAGTTGTTCTCATGTTGCTTTGGACTACTCTGTGTGTGTATATGTGTGTCTTTGGACCGTTTGTGAGGCAGTGGCTGATGAATACTGACTTGAGGCAGGCAAGTAGTCACATAGTTACGTAGTGTTTCCTGTATTTTCGGCACTCCGCCTCCTCTAGCTTTCCGGAGGTTGGTCCCGCTGTTTTGTGGAGATCTTTTCCATCTCGTCTTTTGACCGGGAGGTTGGTCCCGTCTTGGACGTCCCTCCCAGCTCTCTTCTGGAGATCTGTTCCATCTCATCTTTTGACTGGGAGGTTGATTCTGTCTTGGGCTTTCCTCTTCGCTTTCTTCTAGAGGTCTGTTACATCTTGTCTTTTGACCGGGAGGTTGGTCCCATCTTGGACTTCCCAGTTCATCTCCTCTTTTGCTCGGGAGGCTGGTCCCGTCTTAGACTTTCCTCTCAGCTCTCTTCCGGAGATCATGTCCGTTTCGTCTTTTGACTGGGAGGTTGGTCCCGTCTTGAACTTCCCAGTTCATCTCCTCTTTTGGCCGGGAGGTTGGTCTTGTCTTGGACTTTCCAGTTCATCTTCTCTTTTGACCGGGAGGTTGGTCCCGTCTTTGACTTTCCTCTCAACTCTCTTCTGGAGATCTTGGCTGCTCATCTTTTGACCGGGAGGTTGGTCCCGTCTTGGACTTCTCAGTTCATGTGCTCTGTTGACCAGGAGGTTGGTCCAGTCTTGGACTTTCCTCTCAGCTCTCTTCTGGATATCTTTTCCGTCTCGTCTTTTGACCGGGAGTTTGTTCCGTCTTGGACTGTGCTCTCAACTCTCTTCTGGATCTCTTCCAACTCGTTTTCTGACCGGGAGGTTGGTCCCGTCTTGGACTTCCCAGTTCATCTCCTCTATTGACGGAGGTTGGTCCCGTCTTGGACTTCCCAGTTAATCTTATCTTTTGACCGGGAGGTTGGTCCCGTCCTGGACTTTCCTCTTAGCTCTCTTCTGGAGATCTTTTACATCTCGTCTTTTGACCGGGAGGTTGGTCCCGTCTTGGACTTTCCTTTCAGCTCTCTTCTGGCGATCTTTTCTGTCTCGTCCTTTGACCGGGAGGTTGGTCCCGTCTTGGACTTTCCAGTTCATCTCCTCTTTTGACCGGGAGGTTGGTCCCATCTTGCACTTTCCTGTCAGCTCTCTTCTGCAGGTCTTGTCTGTCTCTTCTTTTGACCGGGAGGTTGATCCTGTAATTATTGGACTTTCCTCTCAGCTTTCTTCCGGACATCTTGTCCGTATCGTCTTTTGCCCGGGAGGTTGGTCCCGTCTTGGACTTCCCAGGTCAACTCCTCTTTTTACCGGGAGGTTGGTCCCGTCTTGGACTTTCCTTTCAGCTCTCTTCTGGGGATCTTGTCTGTCCCGTCTTTTGACCGGGAGGTTGGTCCCGTCCTGTACTTCCCAGTTCATCTTCTCTTTTGACCGGGAGGTTGGTCCTGTCTTGGACTTTCCTCTCAGCTCTCTTGTGGAGATCTTTTCCGTGTCGTCTTGTGACCGGGAGGTTGGTCCCGTTTTGCACTTCCCAGTTAATCTTCTCTTTTGACCGGGAGGTTGGGCCCATGTTGGACTTTCCTCTCAGCTCTCTTCTTTTGATCTTTTCCGTCCCTTCTTTTGACCGGGATGTTGGTCCCGTCTTGGACTTCCCAGTTCATCTCCTCTTTTGACCGGGAGGTTTGGTCCCGTATTGTTTTTTCCTTTCAGCTCTTCTGAAAATATTGTTTGTCTTGTCTTTTGACCGGAAGGTCTTGGACTTCCCAGTTCATCTCCTCTTTTGACCGGGAGGTTGGTCCCGTTTTGGACTTTCCTCTCAGCTCTCTTCTGGTCTTGTCCGTCTCGTCCTTTGACCGGGAGGTTGGTCCCGTCTTGGGCTTCCCAGTTCATCCCCTCTTTTGACCGGGAGGTTGGTCCCGTCTTTGACTTCTCAACTCTCTTCTGGAGATCTTGGCTGCTCATCTTTTGACCGGGAGGTTGGTCCCGTCTTGGACTTTCCAGTTCATCTCCTCTTTTGACCGGGACCTTGGTCCCATCTTGCACTTTCCTTTCAGCTCTCTTCCGGAGATCTTGTCCGTCTCGTCTTTTGACCTGCAGACTGGCCCCGTCTTGGACTTCCCAGGTCAACTCATCTTTTGACCGAGAGGTTGGTC